TGTTTTTCCATATGATCGTTGGGATTATATTCTTGGTTTATATACATACGTGTACACACATACAAATACCCCTTCACAAACAAGCTTGTAGACCTGCATTGAATATAGAGGTTGATTTGGGGGAAATTTATGTCCATAACATGGAATCTTGCCTTCCATAAATATGGTGTCTCTCCCCTTTGTTTTAGGTTCTCCTTTATGTCTGTTTTTGAAGTTTTATCATTATGTTCACCGTAAATCCATGACCTTAATTTGTTAAGCTCGTTCCTAGGCATACTGTGGATTTTTGGGGGCATGGAGCATTATAAATGATAACTTTAAAAAGTTTCCAGTTTAATGGCTTGTTACTTTTGTTGAGGACCAAGTTGATTTTTGTATACTCATCTTGAACCTAGCAAGCTCACCAAATTTCTTATTCAAAATAATTTGTAGATTCTTCTAGATTTTCTATATAGACAGTCATATGATCCACAAGTAATAATCAGCTTCGGGCTTTGTCTTCTCCATTCCTTACATGTGCTATTTTTTACCCTTATGCAGTGATCTTCAGTCTAGTATTACATAGATAGGAATATTGGGAGTTTCTATGCCTTCTTCTTGACATTAACAGTGTTTCTCCTATAGGGTCAAATTTAGCATGATGTTTGCTGTAAACTTTTGGTGTATATTCTTCATAAGATTAAGGAAATTTCTGTTTCTTATTACTAAGAATATGTTGTTATTGTTGTTATTGTCGTAATTAAATGATTTTTCTGCATCCATCGAGATGACGATATTAGGATATTTTCCCTTTAATCTGTTAATCTGATGGATGACATAGATTGTCTAATGTTAAGTCATCCATTCTCTGGCTAAACATAACTTTATGATGAAGGCGTATTGATATTTCTGAACAAATTGCTAGGTTGACTCTGCTAATATTTTATATTGTATTGTTACCTGAGATTCATACTTGAGATTGATCATATCTGAGGTTGTGGTATGATTTTCTTTCTCAAATCATTCTTGTCTGGTTTCTGTGGTTGTGTATTTTAGCCTTATAAAATGGACAGGGGAGTAGTCATATCCTCTCCCCTTACCCATTTTGGCTTTAGAGCAGTTAATCTGTAACACAGGGGTTATGTAATTTGTAGAATGGTGGAACTCACTTTAAAAATTTTTTTTCAACGTTTTTTTATTTATTTTTGGGACAGAGAGAGACAGAGCATGAACGGGGGAGGGGCAGAGAGAGAGGGAGACACAGAATCGGAAACAGGCTCCAGGCTCCGAGCCATCAGCCCAGAGCCTGACGCGGGGCTCGAACTCACGGACCGCGAGATCGTGACCTGGCTGAAGTCGGACGCTCAACTGACTGCGCCACCCAGGCGCCCCTGGAACTCACTTTTAAATCACCTTTGCCTTAGTGAGGTTTTGTTTTCTTCTTCTTCCTTTTTTTTTTTTTTGTTTTTTTTGTTTTCCAGGTAGATTTTATACTATTGATTCAAACTTTTTAATGGTTATAGGTCTCTTTGGTTTTCTATTTCTTCCTGAGTCAGTTTTGGTAAGTTATTGTTTTTTTCCTATGAAAATTGTCTGTTTTCTCTGAGTTTTCTATTTTGTTGGTATAATGTTCAGATTGCACTCTTCATAGCTTTAAAATCTGTTACATGTGTAGGGTTTTTTTGTTTTTTTCCACCCTAATGTTGTTTATTTGTGCTTTTCTTTTTCTTTGTCAGTTTGCTATATAATAGAGCATCTGACTCTTTTTCAGTTCTAAATACTTTTCAACTTCAGTTAGAACATTTCTGTGGACCATGATTATATAGTTATGTGCTTTTTAGTATCCGTAGTATTGTATTTGCTTATTTATATACAATATCCGCTTTAGAGTAAGGACTATTACATGGGGCTGCCTCTTGCTTCAAACCTCGTATAGGGTGAGGGCCCTCTTGTCCTCCTGTATATGTTAAAACCTGAGGACCTAGAACATGAAAACCAACATTCCCCAGCCAGCCCCACTCCTTGCTCTAATGATTATCACCCTGGTTCCCAAACATTTCTTGATTGTAGGCCCCTAAGAATTTCTTTTTTTTTTTTTTAAGAGCTCATTTATATGTTTATAAAGATGGTTGTTTTGTATTTTATGTAGCATTTTTAAGAGTTTGTAGTGGAAGAGTTCTCAAGTTACTTAATCTCAGGATTGCCAAATATGAAGTCTATTCTAATGATTAACCAAGAATGATTTTTTTTTTTAGAAAATCCAGAATATTAGCCGTTATTCTACCCTGAGAATGTTCATTTTTTGATATGCTCCTTTATTTATTTATTTTTTTAAATATGAAATTTATTGTCAAATTGGTTTCCATACAGCACCCAGTGCTCATCCCAACAGGTGCCCTCCTCAATGCCCATCACACACTTTCCCCTCCCTCCCACCCTCCATCAACCCTCAGCTTGTTCTCAGTTTTTAAGAATCTCTTATGGTTTGGTTCCCTCTCTCTCTAACCTCTTTTTTTTTTTTTTTCCCTTCCTCTCCCCCATGGTCTTCTGTTAAGTTTCTCAGGATCCACATAAGAGTGAAAACATATGGTATCTGTCTTTCTCTGCCTGACTTATTTCACTTAGCATCACACTCTCCTGTTTCATCCATGTTGCTACAAAAGGCCATATTTCATTCTTTCTCATTGCCACGTAGTATTCCATTGTGTATACAAACCACATCTTCTGTATCCATTCATCAGTTGATGGACATTTAGGCTCTTTCCATACTTTGGCTATTGTTGAAAGTGCTGCTATAAACATTGGGGTACACGTGTCCCTATGCATCAGCACTCCTGTATCCCTTGGGTAAATTCCTAGCAGTGCTATTGCTGGGTCATAGGGTAGATCAAGTTTTAATTTTTTGAGGAACCTCCACACTTTTCCGGAGCGGCTGCACCAGTTTGCATTCCCACCAACAGTGCAAGAGGGTTCCCATTTCTCCACATCCTCGCCAGCATCTGTAGTCTCCTGATTTGTTCATTTTAGCCACTGTGACTGGTGTGAGGTGGTATCTGAGTGTGGTTTTGATTTGTATTTCCCTGATGAGGAGCAGCGTTGAGCATCTTTTCATGTGCCTGTTGGCCATCTGGATATCTTCTTTAGAGAAGTGTCTATTCATGTTTTCTGCCCATTTCTTCACTGGATTATTTGTTTTTCGGGCGTGGAGTTTGGTGAGCTCTTTATAGATTTTGGATACTAGCCCTTTGTCCAGTATGTCATTTGCAGATCTCTTTCCCCAGTCTGTTGGTTGCCTTTTAGTTTTGTTGATTGTTTCCTTTGCAGTGCAGAAGCTTTTTATCTTCATGAGGTCCCAATAGTTCATTTTTGCTTTTAATTCCCTTGCCTTTGGGGATGTGTCAAGTAAGAAATTACTGCAGCTGAGGTCAGAGGTTTTTTCCTGCTTTCTTCTCTAGGGTTTTGATGAGAACGAGCAATCCTAAAATTTGTATGGAACCACAAAAGACCCCGGATAGCCAAAGTAATATTGAGGAAGAAAACCAAAGCGGGAGGCATCACAATCCCAGACTTTAGCCTCTACTACAAAGCTGTAATCATCAAGACAGTATGGTATTGGCACAAAACCAGACACATAGACCAATAGAATAGAACAGAAACCCCAGAATTACACCCACAAAAGTATGGCCAACTCATCTTTGACAAAGCAGGAAAGAATATCCAATGGAAAAAAGACAGTCTCTTTAACAAATGGTGCCGGGAGAACTGGACAGCAACATGCAGAAGGATGGAACTAGACCACTTTCTCACACCAGTCACCAAAATAAACTCAAAATGGATAAAGGACCTGAATGTGATCTGCTCCTTTAAAACATACAAAGAATTAATTTTCTTGTACTTTAGAGTACCTTATAAGATGTGTTCCCCAAATCATTTTTAGCAATTATTTTCTCATTTACATCTAACTTACCATAATTATATGCTCAGCTATTCTTTATTGGGACTTAATTTTTTGAAGAGTATGTTTTTCTCCCTTTGTAACTTTTTAAATTAATAAGTGGTTTGCAGTACGTTGTCAATATTTATTTCCTTAGGTTTCAGTTGAGATGTTTAAAAAGAAAAGGATATTTTGAAATAATTTCTGGACTGCTCATAAATACTGGCCTTTTTGGGGCGAGTTACTTTTCTTCCTTTCAGTGAATTGTAGGGGTGCCTGGGTGGCTCAGGCGGTTGAGCGTCCGACTTTGGCTCAGGTCACGATCTTGCGGTCCGTGGGTTCGAGCCCCGCGTCGGGCTCTGTGCTGACAGCTTGGAGCCTGGGGCCTGTTTCAGATTCTGTCTCTCCCTATCTCTCTGCTCCTCCCCTGTTCACGCTCTCTCTCTCAAAAATAAATAAACATTAAAAAAAATTTTTTTTAATGAATTGTAGGATTTTCCCAGGTTGATTTTTTTTTTTTATATGTACATGGTAGTCAGATAATATCAGTAATGAATGTTCTGTACTGAGTATTCAATTTGTTTTTAATGGTTGTGTGTCCAAATCATATGGCAACCCTAAGTATAGTCAGTGAAGCAACAGCAGAATAAATATTCTATAGTGTTATGAAATCAGAGGACTGCCAGTGTCGAGATTATATAAAATTTAATTGTGTGTACAAGGAGACCAAATTCAGGTAATGAAAAAGTTGTAGGTGTTTTGAAATAATGTCTGTTGTGTATTTAAGTAAATCTAAATATTTTTAGTTAAAAATTATTATTTATTGGGGCGCCTGGGTGGCTCAGTCGGTGAAACGTCCGACTTCAGCTCAGGTCATGATCTCATAGTTCGTGAGTTTGAGCCCCATGTTGGGCTCTGTGCTGACAGCTCGGAGCCTGGAGCCTGCTTCGGATTCTGTGTCTCCCTCTCTTCCCTTCCTCTGCTCGTGCTCTGTCTCTCTCTCAAAAATGAATAAACGTTAAAAAAAAATTTAGCAATTATTTATTTCTAATGTAGTCGATTACTAACAGTGTGTGAACTTCTTCAGGTCCAGTCTTCAGTGGCTGTTGGAACTCCAGATTATATCTCTCCTGAAATCCTTCAAGCCATGGAAGACGGGAAAGGCAGATATGGACCTGAGTGTGACTGGTGGTCTTTGGGCGTCTGTATGTACGAAATGCTTTATGGAGAAACACCATTTTATGCAGAATCTCTGGTGGAGACATATGGAAAAATTATGAATCATAAAGTTAGTATATTTCACTTTTTTCAACAACTGAATGTGGTAAATAATACATGTAATAAATTTAAAGTAATGTGATATTTAAAAAGAAAATATTTTCTTTTATTTATTTATTTATTTATTTTTTAATTTTTTTTTTTTCAACGTTTATTTATTTTTGGGACAGAGAGAGACAGAGCATGAACGGGGGAGGGGCAGAGAGAGAGGGAGACACAGAATCGGAAACAGGCTCCAGGCTCCGAGCCATCAGCCCAGAGCCCGACGCGGGGCTCGAACTCACGGACCGCGAGATCGTGACCTGGCTGAAGTCGGACGCTTGACCGACTGCGCCACCCAGGCGCCCCAAAAGAAAATATTTTCTAAGAACAGTGAACAGTTGAATTTCTGTGCTAATAGGGAACATGACTAAACATGAATAATCAAAATCCATAAATTAGACGTAAGATTATTAGCTCTCCCTTTGCCTGTATTTTATTAGAAATGCTAATAAATAGGAAATTAAGGGGCGCCTGGGTGGCTCAGTCGGTTCAGTGTCCAACTTCGGCTCAGGTCACGATCTCACAGTTTGTGGGTTCGAGCCCCGCGTCAGGCTCTATGCTGACAGCTCAGAGCCTGGAGCCTGTTTCAGATTCTGTGTCTCCCTCTCTCTCTGCCCCTCCCCTGTTCCCGCTCTGTCTCTGTCTCAAGAATAAATAAATATTAAAAAAAAATTTTTTTTTAAATAGGAAATTAAATGGTTTCATCAGTAGAATAACAAAGATCGTAAACAGATAATTTGTATCCTTAATACTATAAGTACATTAATAACTAGAATGCATTTAAAAAATTCTCATCCTTGGCAGTAATAACACAAAATGCAAATCAAAATAAAAATGAGCTATTTGTTTTCTCACCTGGCAAAGATGAAAAATTATACTCTGTACTGTAAATAACTCAGTGAGATGAATGTTGTTAGATGTTGTTGATAGGAATGTAAATTGACGTAGCCTTTCTGTCAACAGGTTTATAAGTACGCATCTAGAGCCTTAAAAACGGTTGAACTTTAGGGGGGCCTGGGTGGCTCAGTTGGTTAAGTGTCCAACTCTTGGTTTCGGCTCAGGTCACGATCGCATAGTTTGTGAGTTCAAGCCCCACATCGGGCTGTGCGCTGACAGTGCAGAGCTTCTTGGGATTCTCTGTCTCCCTGTCTCTCTGCCCCTCCCCTGCTCGCTCGCTCGCTCACAATAAATGAATAACTTAAAAATTTTTTTTTAAATGATAGAACTTTGGATTGAGCAACTTGAGTTTTAGGACTCTGCCCTAAAGGAAACATTCAGTTCAACCAAGATGTATGTACAGGGATACCTCTTCCAGTCTTGTTTATGATCAAAGCAGTGGAAACAATCCAGATTCACCACAGCGACAAATGGATAGAACCTTATTAACCCATTTAGTACGAAGTGAAATAGAAATAAATTATAAGAAGTTGTTTCTGGTTGATTGGTTTCAGCAGAGCATGAGCAGTTGCAAAAATCTGGAATAGGAATATCCCATAAAAGGAGTGACGATCTGTTCTTCTTAGTTGATCTGGTGAAACAGTTACAATTAGTTGACTTTGCTGTGTAGTTGATGCTTTTCCAGAGAGTTGACGTTTCCTGTAGAGTTGGCGCTCTGGTACCTGGCTGTGAAGGTAACCTGCTAAAGTAGTTAGGAAGAGTGGACAGACAGGGAAGGGCTACGCAGTTGTAATTAGCACGTCGAGCATTTCGGAGAGACACCGTTGTCTGTGACATGGCAGGCCAGAGCCTGGGTTCCGGAGTTGGGCCGCTCCACCCAAGCCCGTCGTATGACTGGGAGCGAACTCCCTGGGCCTTTGTTTCCTCCTCTGTGCAGTTGGGATAAGAGAGGTGCCTACCTTCGACCCCCGCTATGAGGACTCACCAGGTGGGTGCGTAGAGCACGTCATGGTGTCAAGTACACGTTCCGTTCTTTCCAAATATCTGTTATCGTTACTCAGCCCTTCATTCGCGACTTATCCGAACGTTACCTGTCACATACGCTCTCCTGAAAGGTTGAGTCAGACTCTACTTTTAATAAGTTCTCTTCATTCCGACAGCAGAGTGAGGTACGTTGGCATTTGATTTTTTCTTCTTCCTGCAGTGTGTGCGTGACTGAGTCACACTTAAAATGACAAGTTCCTTTAGGAAAATTCTCTGTTCTCACCCATCCCTGGATCTCCTGTAGTATGAGTACTTGGTAGCAGTGAACACTTATTAGACATTTTTAAGAGAAAGCGCATCTTGAAAAACGAATGAATGTTCGTCAGCCTACTTAGGGAGTTAAACACTGGTTTCTATTTTGTGTCTGTTTTTCAGGAGAGGTTTCAGTTTCCAGCTCAAGTGACCGACGTGTCTGAAAATGCTAAGGATCTTATTCGAAGGCTCATTTGCAGCAGAGAACACCGACTGGGTCAGAGCGGCATAGAAGACTTTAAGAAACACCCCTTTTTCCATGGAATCGATTGGGATAATATTCGAAACTGTGAAGCACCTTATATTCCAGAAGTTAGTAGCCCCACAGATACATCCAATTTTGATGTGGATGATGATTGTTTAAAGAACTCTGTAAGTATGACTCTGTGAAGGGCTTCTGTCTCTTTCTTTTTAACATGGTCATAAAGCAGTTTCATGGGCCTCCTCATCAATTACCAGTCAGACCGTTATCATGGCTTCTAGTATTTGTTCTCCCAGACGTGAAGCGATTAAGAGAGTCCACTGAGGGGCGCCTGGGTGGCGCAGTCGGTTAAGCGTCCGACTTCAGCCAGGTCACGATCTCGCGGTCCGTGAGTTCGAGCCCCACGTCGGGCTCTGGGCTGATGGCTCGGAGCCTGGAGCCTGTTTCCGATTCTGTGTCTCCCTCTCTCTCTGCCCCTCCCCCGTTCATGCTCTGTCTCTCTCTGTCCCCAAAATAAATAAAAACGTTGAAGAAAAAAAAAAATTAAAAAAAAAAAAAGAGCGCCATGGTACTGGACCATTGCGGGGCTTGACAAATCACCCGGGGTAAATAAATTGAGAAGCATTTATTCATAAGAACCTGAGCTTTGGTTAACAAGCGCCCCCACCGCCTTCCATCAGCTTGGTTGGGGCCGTCGAACGTTGGCAGGAAGCTGCTTCTGCTGATGCCATTGGGAGAGCTGCCCATGCCCGGTGGTGGTGCCTTGAGAGATAGCAAAGTTGTGGGGAAAGAAGGGGGTGGAAATCTACGGCCTGCCTGTCCTGAGGTCCCGGCCTTACCTGGGGTGGTGGCAGACCGACAGGGTAGCCAGGCCTTCAACCACCTGGGGCTTACGGGCCTGTTAGGTCCTCAACCCCTTCTCCAAACCTTTAGGTTACATAGGTGCAATTTAGGACAAGAAGAATGCATGATTTTATGGTTTTTGTCTGGTTAGTCTTTTTTTTCTTTTTTTTAAGTTTATTTTGAGAGAGAGAGGGAGAGGGAGAGAGAGAGAGCGAGAGCGAGAGCGAGAAAGGGAGAGAGAATCCCAAGCAGGCTCCACACCATCACTGTGGAGCTCAGATGTGGAACTTGAACTCACAGAACCGTGAGATCATGACCCCAGCTGAAATCAAGAGTCGGCCACTTAACTGACTGAGCCACCCGGGGGCCCTGTCTTCTTAAATTTGAACTTTATTTTTTATTCCACTGTTTTATTTCTTATGGTTTTAATTCTACACTAAGAATTTTTATATTAATTTTATGTCACTTTTCACTGTTCAGTAAGTAGCATATGCAAGGCAGTTAAGAACTTCTTATGCTTCCCTCTCGGGACTTTCCTCATCAGTTTCTTTCTTATTATAGGAGTTGTATTTACCATTAACAGAAATTTGAGTCCTTCCAAATTCGATACGTGGTACAGTCGATTCTGATCATGGTAGTTACATGTTCAACTAGGTTTCTGTGTACCCTGTGTTAGTGAACCGGGGAAACTCCTAGGGGAAACTCACGGTTAGGTTCTTGTGAGCCTCTGGTCTTTTGATCAGCCAGTCAATACATAACCTTGTTTTATGTATGTTTCTATTTAAAGTCACTTTATTTCATGTATACTGTTGATTGATGAAGTTCGAATTCACAGCCAGCGGCCATGTAACTCGCGCCCGAACAGAGCTTGTCTAACGCACGTACTTCTTCATAGGGCACGCCACAGCCGCCTTGCTTAGGAGGGCCGGATGGCTCTTGGGCCCTGTGCCAGCAGGGCAGAAAACTGTGAAAGACATGGCACACCTAGGCCCCGGAAAGAGCACGGGTTGGTAGTATCTCAGCTGACCTAGGAAGGCAGAACGCCTCCCTGTCCAGTCCCAGCTGCGAACGTAGGCCCCGGGCAGCTCGGTTTTGTTTGTTTGTTTCTCTGCATACGTCCCTGAGCGAGTGCAGAAGGACTGTGAGTATCGATTTCGAGTCACAAATAATTCTTAGCGACGAGGCGGATCGGCAGGTATGAATACGTGATTAATGACTGGACTCTCGGCGTCAGCCTTTCAGTCTCGATTTTCGTTTTTATTAGAATTTTATCGTACGTCACTACGCATCTGCACCAAACCAGATCGGGGTTTCTAAATCCAACGGGCCCGTATTTCCGCTTGACATCCAATATGTGGATCGGCCTGCAGGTCACAGTCGCTTATTTCTTACCAGATGTTTTCTCGTCCCTTAGGAAACGATGCCCCCCCCCACGCATACCGCCTTTTCTGGCCACCACCTGCCGTTTGTTGGTTTCACATACACTAGTAGCTGGTAAGTTTGAAAAGTTAACATACTTTGGACAGCTTAAAGCCCATTAAAATGAACTGAGGTTTTAAAATCTGTACAAGAAAGCCTTGAAAAAAAACAAAAAATTTCAATACAGGATGAAGCTACTGTTGGAAAAAGTTAAACACACGAGGACTTTAAGTGATTTTGGAGGAGAAAGGACAGTAGAGCTCAGAATCTTACTCTTAGCCACGGGGCACCAACTGGAAGAGTCCTTTGCTCTTGAGCAAATACACCCCGTGTGCCAGGCAGGCCCCGTCACCTTGGCCGTCTTCTCACAGACCGCCACTCTGCTGCCCACTGCCCGTTCCTCCTTACCCGGCCTAGGCTGAGTGCGATTGTAATCACTCGTGTGCCCCGTGACCCCTCGGCCGCCTCTTGCTCTGTCACATGGTTTCGCTAAGGCGACATCATCCTTACAGTCCCCGTTTCTGCCCGCACCTGTGCCGCTCAGGGTCCACAGAAAAACACCTGACCGCTCTTGCTGGTCCTTCCTTAAGTTCGTGGTTACCAACCTCCCGCGCCCCTCTTGCTGCCTGGAAAGTGCGCCGTGTTACCCTCCGTGCCCATTCTTCCGCTCCCCCGGGTAACTGTCTCGTGCTTTGTACTTTCCTCTGAAACCTGTCGCCGTGCTCTCACCTCGCAGTCTCGCCTCCTGTTTCATGGAGAGGTTGCGGCGGGTGGTTTCCACACGCTCCTTCACACGTGGACCACCTGCCTCCCTCTGGCCCCGGGCTCTCGTCTGTGCGGATGAACTGGGGGGGTTTCCGGGGCACTTGCCTGGCCGCCTCTCACCTCTCTGGCCACTCCTCTGTCTCTGGCCCTGTGCCCCAGCGCTTAGTCTTGGGACCTTTCCCGCTTACGCTCTGGCACACTGCCAGAAATTTGCTGGTGTGTCCCCGGCAGAGACCTCTCCACTCTCTTCTACTTAGAATCTCTCAACCACCCGCTTCACGTGTTTCTAATGTTGTCTCTTGGATTTCTCTGAACGCGTCTGGTCCTGCCAGAAGTCACAGCGTATCGCCCCTCCATTCAGGACCAGCCCCCACTGTCCTCCCAAGCCCAGTGCCTTCGTATCTTAATCCAAACCAAACTTCTCACAAGGCCCTGCACGACTGGCTTCCTTTATCTTTCTGTTTCTCCCTACTCTCGACCTTGTTTACTCGACTCCAGCCACACACATCTCCTTTCTGGCCTGTGAATGTGCCAGACACGCTCTCGCCTCAGAGCTTTTGCACTTCTGTTCCATCTGCTTGGAATGCTGATTCCCCTGTGGCTCCCTTGGCTGGTCCCCTTCCTCGCTCTGGACTTTCCTCCGAGTTCCTTTCTGAGTGATAGCTGCCTGGCCACTTTGTCTAGATTTTTATTTCCTCCCCATTAATGCTCGACACCCCCCCCCCCCCCCCACCCCCACACACACACACTCCTTCCCTGCTTTGTCTCTTAGCAGGCAGCTCTAATGCCCTGAAGGTTTTACTCATTTGTCTGGTTTGTTTCTGTCCCTGGAAGCCAAGCTCTTCATGGGCAAGCATCTCTTTTGCTCTCTGTTGAATGTCCAACACTTTACATATTTTTAGTTAAGTATTGAATTAAAGAAAGCATTCACTTTTGCATCCAAATTTTGATAGCGAGGACATGATGTGTGCTTTGGACTATGATTTCACTTGGGTGGTCACCTTGTTTTCAGCAAACTTCATTTTACGATTTGTGGTTATTTAAATTCAAGATAAGTGGGACGATTTTTCACTTAAAAATTCTTCTCAAAAGTCATTTGTGTTGAGTTGTGCAAAACATGTGTTTTACAGTCACTGCAGAGATGGCCAACTGTAATTAGCTATTTAAATCCATGTTTTAAATGGACAGTTTCAAAAGGCTCTTTTTTCCTTCAGACTTTCTGTTTCTGTGTGAACTCACCTTGTTTTGTCTCCGCAGTGTTCTTTCTGATCGGAGCTGTTTACGAGTGACAGCCGGGCCCGCTTCCCTCGACCTGGATGTCAACGTTCAGAGGACTCTGGACAACAACTTGGCCACGGAAGCTTATGAGAGAAGAATTAAGCGCCTTGAGCAGGAAAAACTTGAACTTAGCAGAAAGCTTCAAGGTAAATATGTTTTAAAGATGGTGTTTTTCCCTTTTTTGAATTGGACTCACAGTTTTAGGAACTGTGTATTGTAAGCGTTGTTTTATCTTGAAAAGAAATTTATTTTATGAGGTGGAAAAAATCCAGTGGAAGAAAGTCACGCAGAATACAGTATGATACCATTTACGTAAACTCATGACATTAACAGTAAACCGCAAAACAGCCCTTGTTCCCCCGCGGGTGCGTATGTGTGCACATAGACACGTCTGGGGACAAGGAGCCCTTCGCATCCTAGCGTACCGCTCGGTGTGCCTACCATATTTCCTTATCCTAAAAAGTTCCTCTTCCTAGCACACTTTCTCTGCGACATTGCTCCTGTCCTCATACTTGATTTTGTTCGTTCTTTCTTTCTTTCTTTCGTTCTTTCTTTCCTTTCTTTCTTTCTTTCTTTCTTTCTTTCTTTCTTTCTTTCTTTCTCTGTCTATCTGTCTATTTTAAGTTTATGTATTTATTTTGAGAAAGAGAGAACGTGAGCAGGGGAGGGACGGAGAGAGAAGGAGAGAGAGAATCCCACGTAGAAGCCCATGCAGGGTTCAAACTCACGAACCGTGAGATCATGACCTGAGCCAACACCAGGAGTCAGATGCGTAACCGACTGAGCCACCCAGGCGCCCCAAATACTTGGTGACCTTAAAATGCATGTTGGCAGACCTCTTTAATATTCCGACTTCTTGGTCTCTTGATTGTTCATGTCCAATGATCTTGTCCTCCGCCCGATCTCATCCACTCCAGTCTTGAGACTCTGGCAGCTAAAATCTTTATTAATCTCCATTTCAAGCAGACCCTGCGTGATCTCCTGTTCACGCTGGTCTGGTGAACCCGCTTTGGTGCCTCCAGTATGCCTTCAGTCCCGTCGTTACCAACAAGCCTGTCACCTTGCCCCGTGGTCAGTCCTAGCCCCCTCATGGGGACCCCCACCTCTGTTGCTCCCTCTTCTACGTGTCCCTCCTTTGCCAGGACCCCAGCTCTGTGTAAATGCATTATGTCTGCTCCTGTGTGGCCGACGGTAACGTACCGGGGACACGTGGTGTGCTGACCGATCCCACTTCGAATTCACGAGTGCTGATGTCAAGTTGACTCTTGGCGAGTGCTGCCCGGTCCGCGTCTTCGCACCTGTCCGCATTTGACCCACCAGACCACGCCCCCTCCTGAGAGCTCTTTCTTTGGGCTCTGGGACGCCCGAATCTCCTGGTTTTCTGTTGAACCAGTGATTCCCAGTCTCGCTCCCTGATTTCTGCCCGGCGCTCTGACCTCCAAATGCCAGGGTCCTCCGAGTACCCCGTGAGCCGAGGCGCCCAGAACTGCAGCCTCCGAGGCACCTGGAAGCCCTGTCATTCTGTCACAGCTCACATCCTGCCGCCAGCGAGTCCGGTGGCTCTGCTGTCACCGAGGATCCCGACTCTGGGCATCGCTCGCTGCACGGCCCCCTCCCTGTTCACAGCACCACCGCTGCCCCCTGCCTTCCGTGACAGCCTTCTCGCGGGTTCCCCCACCTTCCGCGCCCCTCCTCCCCCACCTTCCCGATCCGTTTCCAACACAACAGCCAAGCAATCCTCTTAGGGCACAGTTTAGACCATTTTACCTCACGGCCTCTTCTCCACCCCGCGGGTTTTCCGTCTCACTCACTTTAACAGCCAGGCTCGCTGTCTGTGCCCGGCTTCTTCGTGCCTTTCTGACTTCACCTCCTAGGCCCCCCTACCCGCCTGCTGCCCTGTCCTTCTTTCGGCCTCTAGCCACTCCTTGGCTGTTCTTCCCACAGCTTGGCACATCCCCACCTCAGGGCCTTGGCGTTAGCTGTTGCCCTGCCTGAAATTGTCTTCCTTTGCTGTTCACATGGCTCATTCCCTTACATCCTTCAGATTTCTACCTGAATATTACCTTTAAATGAGGCCTTTCCTGACTGCACTATTTGAAACCTAGTCTTTTTTTTTTTTTTTTTTTTTAATGTTTATTTGTTTTTGAGAGAGAGAGTGTGTGAGCAGGGGAGGGGCAGAGAGAGAGAAGGAGACACAGAGTCCGAATCAGGCTCCAGGCTCCGAGCTGTCAGCACAGAGCCCGACGCGGGACTTGAACCCAGGAACCGTGAGATCATGACCTGAGCCGAAGTCAGACGCTTAACTGACTGAGCCACCCAGGCGCCCCTGAAAGCTAATCTTGCTTTATCTTCAGCATTCACTATCCCTCTTCCCTGCTTTATTTTCTCCAAAATAAAGGACATAACATACAATTTATTTTACTTAACTCCTTTTGTGAATGAAGGAATGTAATCAAAAAGCTTGTAACTCTTAAGAGAGAAAGAGTCAAGTTTTTGCAATAATAAAATTTCGCTATTATACTTTTAGAGGCCCAGTAGAGAAAAACACTCCCCAGACGTCAATAAAACAGACTGCTTTCTATTTTTTCCATAAGTTGCCAAGACCTCTGCATGTGGATTAATTCCTCTTTATCGTGCAAGTTGTTTTGACATTCTAATAAATATATTTGCCACATATCATTGTGTAAGTTTAAGATGTCCAACTTACTAATTTGATACATTTATCTGTTGTAACGAGATTGCTGTCGTAGGACCGTTTAGTGCCTTCTCCCATGTCACATAATTACAGTGCAGCTCGGCTGTCTGTATTGACCACTCTGCTCCGTAGATCTTTATGATTTCTCTACCACTTGTTGTGAGTTTGTACCGTGAAATGACATCCCCCCACCCCTGCCCCGTCCCCGGTAACCAGTTTTACTCTTTGTTGTTCTATGAGCTTGACTGTTTCAGATCTCACGTAGAAGTGATATCGTACAGCGTGTGTCCTTCTCCATCTGACTGCTTCACTCCGTGCAGTGCGCTCAGGGTCCGTCCATGTTGTCACACACGGCAGGACGTTTCCTTTCTCGTGGCCGAGTAATACTCCGTTGTGTACATATGCCCCATCGTTTTTAATCCGTTCATCCACCGATGCACCTTTAGGTTGTTTCCACGTCTTGGTTACTTGCAAAAGTTTTCTCCCATTCTGTAAGTCGCCTTTTCATTTTAGTAATTGTTTCTTTTGCTTTACTGAAGCTTCCGTGTTTGGGACAGTCCCATTTGTTAGTTTTTGTGTCTGTTGCGCGTGCTTTTGGTGTCATATGCAGAAAACCACTGCCAGGACCAGTGTCCAGGAGCTTCTTCTCTGTTCTCTTCTAGAAGACTTCTAGAAGTCCTATGCTGTCAGGTCTTTATGTTTAAGTCTTTGATCTATTTTGAGTTAATTTTTGTGAGTGGTGCAAGAGGGGCCCACTCTCGTTGTTCTGCACGTTTCCCCAGCACCATTTGTTGAAGAGACTGTCCTTTCCCCATTGGGTGTCCTTGGCTCCCTTGCAGAATTAGTCCGCCATGTTTGCCACAATTTGATCGCAGGCTCTGTTTCGTTCTGTTGCTCTGCGTGTCTGCGTTTGTGCCCATAATGTATTGTTTTTATTATCGTCGCTTTGTAGTGTGGTTTGAAAGTAGGAAGCGTGATACCTCTGACTTTGTTCTTTTTGTCAGGATCCCTCTGTCTGTGCAGTGTCTTTAGTGATGCCACAGCAGAGTTTAGGATTGTTTCTTCTGTTTCTGTGAAGAATCCCTTTGGTGTTTTGATGGATATTATGTTAAATCTGTACATGGCTTTGGGTAGTGTAAACATTCTAACAGTATTAATACTTGTGATCTATGAACGTGCAACGTCTTTCCAGTTGTTTGTGTCGTCTTCTGTTTCTCAGGAAACTCTTACAGTTTCCATTGTACAGATCTTGTCCTTCTTGGTTAAAAGCGTTCCTGAGTAGTTTATTGTTTTTGATGCTGTTGTGAATGGGATGGTTTTCTTTACTTCTTTTTCAAATGTCTCATCATTACTGTAAAGGAATACAACAGGTTTATGTGTTGATTTTGCATCCTGCAACTTTGCTGAAATTGTTGATTAGTTCCAACTGTTATCTGGGTTTGCTCTTGGGGATTTTCTATATGTAAAATCATGTCAACAAATAGTAACAGTTTTACTTTTCTCTTTCTGATTTGCATGCCTTTTATTTCTCTGTCTTGCCTGATTGCTCTGGCTAGCACTTCCAGGACTGTATTGAATAGGAGTAGAGAGAGTGGACATCCTTGTCCTCTTCCTGATCTTAGAGGAAAAGCTCTCAGTTTTTCTCCATTGAGTATAATGCTAGTTGTCACTTTGTTGTAAATGGCCCTATTTTGTTATGTCCCTTCTATATCCAGTCTGTTAAGGTTTTTTATCACGAAAGGATGTTGCGTTTTGTCAGATGCTTTTTCTGTGTCTGTTGAGATGAATGTGTGATTTTTATCTTTTATTGAGGTGATCTGTGACATTTATTGATTTGTGTATATTGGACCACCCTTGCATCCCAGAGATAAATCCCACTTTGTCGTGATATATAATCCTATGACTGTGTTCTTGACTTTTGCTTGCTAATATTTTGTTGAGAATTTTTACATCTATATTCATCAGAGATATTGGTCTATAGTTTTTTGTGGTCTTCTCTGGTTTTGGTATCAAGGCCTTCTAGAAAGAACTTGGAAATGTTCCCTCCTCCTCATTATTTTGAAGAGTTTGAGGAAGATTGTTAGTTTTTCTTAAATGTTCGGTAGAATTCACCAGTGAAGCTGTCAGTTCCTAGAGATTTCTGTGTTGGGAGGTTTTTGTTTACTGATTCAATCACATTATTCGTTACTGGTCTGTTCAGACTTTCTCTTTCTTCCTGAGTCAGTCTTGGTAGGTTGTGTGTTTCTAGAAATGTATCCATCTCTTCTGGTTGTGTAATATCCTGGCCTATAATTGTTCATAGTATATGATCCTATATATTTCTGTCGTTTAAGTTGTAATGTCTCTTCATTTCTTCCTCTTTTTTTTTTTTTTTTTGGATTTTTTTTTCTAATTTTTTTGTTTATTTTTGAGAGAGAGAGAGAGAGAAAGTGTGAGCCAGGGAGGGGCAGA